ATTTCTTTAGCAAGACATATTCGATCTCATCATCCTCTAGATCATTCCCTTTGATAGCATATGTGTAAGAGGTGATGTGCTCGTTCGAATTGATCATTCCATTGTATTTAGGAATCTCGGGCATGCAGAACTTCTTGGGGATCGGCTTAGGAGCCGCGCTCGAGGGGCAAGGTTTTTGCACAAATTTGTTGGAGTCCAGACCCTTCAATATCGGCGGTGCCTCCGGGATTTGATCGAACCTGGAGTTGTAAGTTTCCATATTTTTGTCGTTTGCCTCGATATTCTTTTCCCCCCGACTCAGTTTGTTTTGCCAATTCTTCGAACATCTTCATGATTGCAGGATTGGTCTCCGATTCTTTCTCGTTCGATTTACTTAAAACCGATTCGACCCTATGTACAACTTCCTGGGACAGCTCGAGCTCGACCCTACTCAGTGGGTGATTCTTGTTTTGGAGCTAGGATATCGCTGCCTGCTGAGCCTGCAACAGTTTGAAGATCACCCGCAGGCTGGTCCCGCCATCTTTGCCGCCATGTGTGCCTTGAGAGACTGATCAAACATCCCCACGGAAGCTGCCTTCGGGATCAACGGCCAAATTTGTGTTGATGGCTACATGTGAGCTGACGTCGATTGGATCTACAACCGGAACTCCATCGAGGCCAACCGGGGGCACATCGTTCCCTGGTGCTATGTTATCATTTCACCGTAGTGGCCGAAATCATTGTTAACGTGTAGAGGTGCTGACTGAGAGTTTGACATTTTGGTCGTGGAATCAAAGATATATCAAACAACAAGTGTAAAATAGTGTGTGTTATGAATGTTTGTACCAGGTAATCACTATTTTCCTTAGCCACACAGTGGGCGCCAAACTGTTTACCCTTAAAATTGGATAATAATTAAATTTGTACGCGGTTTTAAGAATATGTGACATAATTAAGAAGACAGATTAATATTGAAATTAACGATAATAAAATAAATGCAAACTACAAAATTGAACAGCCTTAGCTTCTGAGTTTGATCACCCTCGAGCCAAGAAATATCTCAACTAGTGTTAGAACTGAACAACAAGATGATAGGAACTAGAAATGATCAGTATATGCTTTCTTTTGGCGTGTTACAATGTGTCCTACAAATGAGCAGAACCCCCTTCATATAATAGGGGTGTTCTACTTTTGGTACAATTCTATACAAGGTAAAAGATCTTGTGATTTGCTAATTAATTGGCCTCTTCTTGATACGTGCCGAGATTTTCTCCGTGATCGTCGACTGATTGCGGATATTTCAGCTTTTCATTATTTAGCTGGGTAAGTTTCCTTCGATCTTTCTTGGTCTCGACCTTGCTCGGTCTTTAAGTCACAGGCTCGACGATCTAATTTTGCGCCTTGGTTAGATATAACCCGAGATCGAGCTTTGACCTGCTATGTTTCAGCCTCGATTGGTCAAAAAATGGACGAACCCGGTTTTGACCGTATACAATGTCGACTAAACACATGTTTTCTACACTTGGTAGTTGTTCATTTTCACAATAAGTTCAACTTCTAATAGTATTATTCGTTTGAATAATCTATTTAATACCACAATTCCATATGTTCTGTCCATAAGGAAATAGTAATGGATACTATTATGGATCATAACAACCATAGTAGTAATTTACCAGTTGGGTCTTGCTACTATGTGTATAAATTCGAATATGTGGTAGAGAAATACTGGAATTACTTTCATCTTCTATCCATATTGCTGCTACTTTAGATGATGTTGGTAAGTTATATGTTCTTTGATCTAAACTAGAGTCGGACTTAAGCGCAATGTAGAAGTTTGATAATTCTGGATATCTGTTAAAGATTTCAAAAAGATAGAGTATGGATTAACTTTTAATGTGTCCATCAAAGTCCTGATAACCGATTCATTACGCTTGTCAGAGAATGCCATTCGATTTGCTAGTTCATTATCAGTATCATAGAAATACAGCTGTAGAATTTTTTCTGGTTGACTCGAAGGCACGAGGTGATTTATGAAATGATACATTTTTCCTTGAAATCTAAACGTATAAATACCATAATTTCATTTTGCTAAATCTATGTCTTAATTTACTCCAATTGAAGTAAATGCGAATATATTGTTATACAATCTAACATAAGTGCGAAAACGTTTGAACTCCTTAGAGTTTCCTAAATAAAAATTTAGCAATTCGGGAGGCAATCCATAGTGAATCAATTTTACTGATCCATCGTCACAGCAAAATCCCGGTGATTCATATTGAAATCTTTTGGCTCTACAAAATATATAATTTGATACAGTTTTGAGTCTAAAAAGGCTACTAGGAAAGTCATTAGTGTTCCAGAGACACATTTTTTTAGATGTACGACCTGCATATTTTATATTTAGCAAAGCCAAAAAAGGTCAACCCAGGAAAAGTACTGGCTGAAATGACTTTAAAGCTAGATGGGAACAACCTTTGCTTCTGCCGTTACGCAAAATATTATATTGGTCACAACACGTTCCTGATGTAGATCATAAGATAAAACGAATTATCGTATAAGTCTAGGTGTTTAAAGATTCTACAACTTTGAACACCATACTTTCACACTTACAAAATTCAAAAACGGAATAGTGATCACGTAGATCTTTGCTGTTATCAAAAACGGTGGAATCATTAATTATGGACACATTTACTAAAACTTAAGAGCGAGTTATGACCATACGAAATATGTAAATGCTGAAATACCACATATTTTATTCAAAGGTAACAAAATCTTAGTGCACAAACATATTCCCAAAGTAGAAGATGAAGCTCTTGTTAGAGCTGCTCTCTGCTTAGCTAACTCTCCATTATATTAGTAGCAAGCTGATACTTCAGTGGAATTAGTGGTTAGATTCTGCATTCTAGAATGAAGAATGAAGGTATGTCATTCGGCGCTGCACTAAGTTTAGTTCCAGCATGTTAAACATGTTGAATCCGCATGTTTTTTAAAATATGATATCTCAGAATTTCGTCTGCATACGTTTCACATATACCAAATTAAAACTTAGGAATAAAATATTTGCAGTACAAAGCAATGAATATCAACACTCATTATGGTGATAATAAACAAAACATACTAAAACAAAAAATAGGTGTATGTCTTCACTAAGCTAACTTCTCAACAACAGAAAGAATCTTCGTTGTACCATCAATTCATCACTTACTTTTTGTGGAGGTACATACGGCGAGGTGCAAAATGCTGATATGAATTTTTGATAAAATGTGCTAAAGCAAAGTAATTTCAGCCATCAAAAGCTAAAAGATGGATTCTTCAATCCATTTTTTATGGACATTTTAATACAAATAACATTTCATATGACAAATGGACCAATACAGTGGGATACTCAGTGATACAAAAACAAATCTGATTGTAAAACATAAAATACTTGGCCTTATTTGGGATGATTTAAAATAATTTTCCTTTGAAAATTCATTGTATTTGGTTGTCTAGAACTAAAAATTATATTTCTGCAAATGAAAATATTCCCAACCTCCACTATCCATTATATTATATAGCACCAACTTTATGTCCGACGAAACACCAAAGCTAAGCAAATTCTACAATTGAAGAGACAAAACAATAGAGCAAATCAATCATATCTCAAAGCCAAACTATGAACATTTTGAAACAAGTAGCAAGTATAAACCAAGAAAGGCTTGTAGATCACTTGATGTTATCATCAACCCCAACTAAAATAAAAGTATTAAAAAGCATTGTGCTTCAATACCAACAAATAAACTTTTCACAATATTTAAATTCAAACAACAACTTCTCACTGAGGTGTTGAACAATCAAACTTTGATCACAAAACGTAAGCACGAATTAGTTGAAGAACTTACAATGAAATGGACAAGGATATATAAGCAGTTGAATATTTTCCAAGAAGAAAATGCCAAAAAAAGATTCTGGTATTTCTATTTCAAAAACAAAAAATACACTGAAAATTTAGCTTCGACAAACACACATATATTATATAAATTGCAAAAATAAATCGAGCCTAAACTGCTAAATTGAAACAATTTGGCTGGATCCTGGAGGAAACAGTCCAAACCCAACAACAGTTGAAGAAAAAGAAATAGAAGAGAAAAACTAACCTTGCAACTCTGTGATTATCTTGACAGGGCAAATATAGAACTGCAAAAACTCAGCAAAAACCACAATCTCTTGTCAATATATAGTAGAAATTGATGCGCAACCTGCAAAAAAATAAAAATTCAGCGGAGAAGCGAAGGGAATCTTGAGAAAGCGAAGAGGAAGATGCGGAGAAAATTTTGGTAAAGTAGAGATTTAAGCGGTTGGAGTCAGAGTGGCTTGCGAAATTACCTATGTAGTCTTTCTCTAAACAACTCAAGTCAGCTAGTACATGGTCAGCTAGTACATGGACACAATAGAAATTTGGATAGCACAAGAGCTGTAAGGGATAAAATGCCCCCATCGGCAAGCAGACATGTTGTCACCTGATGTACTCGCACTTGTAATATAGTAGAATATAGAAATTCAAAATAAAAACACCCATCTACAAATTATAAATAGGGAAATACTCCATATGTATAGGAAAATACCTGACTTCAGTAGGGCAGGGTTTCTTTCTTTATTGAATAAGTAGATAATGTGATCAACAATCATTACATTAAAAAATATATACTTTTTTCTCTCAAACATAAAGTTTATAACTTTTTCCAAAAAGTAAAAAAACTACTTCTGTTAATGCTCAAAAGCAATTTTCCGTCTTGAACAAACACATCAATTTCTAAAAAAAATATTTTCCATAAAAATAAAATAAAATAAAATAATTTTATCCTCCCAAATACTTAGCCAAGACATGTGGGTGCAGAACACATACAAAACATCCCAATGGCAGACATATACTAGAATAACTTCCAAAAATCCCAATGGCAGGAGTGAAATATGAGTGTGATTACATTACTAAACATGCTCAATGTACATTCAAGTTGTAATGAATAATAATAAGTGCGAACTTATCCTGCTCGTGCTAACCTATTTGGATGCGTGTACTCGATAGATGATCCAATTACTTTGTGAACACACTAATTTGCAGTGGGTGCAAGAAGTGGGTAAAAGGACTACCATGTAAAAAACATTGGTCTATCATTTAAAGCAATTTTGTTCTTTATTTTCCTCCAATAATCCCGATTCAGATTGATACTGTACGGTACTACAACCCAAAACCCACACCTCTCTGCCCTATTCAGGGACCCGTTCTTCTCTTCTTCCCCTTCTCATTTTTAGCTTTATTTATCCATCTTTTCATTGAAAGTTCTGCTCAGTGTTTTTCAGATCATTCACGTGGAGCAAAACAGGTTCCTTTTTTCCGAGATCTCTATTCACATTTATTTTCTGCCCTTTTTTTTTTGCTTATTGATTAGGTTCATTGTTCCATCTTGAATTGGGTTTCGGTATCAGATCTTTTCTTTTATTCATATCTCACTTATTAATAGGTTTCATTTCAAGATTCATCGATCTCGGTCCCCAATTTGTACTTTCCTTTTATGGTTTGTCCTTTCTGTTTTCTTCTTTCTTGAATTTTCATGTTTTAGTGCATAAAAATCCTTGATAAATACACTCACATTAAGAAACAAATATGATTTGCATTTCCAGCTCAACTTTGGGCGTTTATTCTATTGCTTATATGCAAGCACTGTATTGAGGTCCAGACGAGAATAAACCCCTTTAACAGCTCTTGTGAATACAATGTCTGCAATCAGATTTGATGCGTCGAAGCAATATTATGCTACCAGCAGTCTTGTGGTTGGATATGCCCTCTGTTCCAGCTTGCTTGCTGTGATTAACAAGTTTGCTATAACCAACTTCAACTACCCAGGTCTTCTTACTGCATTGCAATACCTAACTTCAGCTTTAGGGGTTTGGCTTTTAGGAAAATTTGGGCTGTTGCATCATGATCCGTTCACGTTGGAGAATGCCAAGAAATTCTTGCCTGCTGCCCTTGTTTTTTACCTGGCAATATTCACCAACACCAATCTTTTGCGCCATGCCAATGTGGATACTTTCATTGTCTTTAGATCCTGTACGCCTCTGCTTGTTGCTGTTGCTGATACAGCTTTTAGAGAGCAACCATGCCCTTCAAAGTTGACGTTTCTATCTTTGGTGGTCATTTTGGGAGGTGCTGTTGGGTATGTTGCTACAGATTCAGGTTTTACTCTGACTGCTTATTCTTGGGCGTTTGCGTACTTGGTAACCATTACAACCGAGATGGTCTATATTAAGCATATGGTAACCAATCTGGGGCTGAATACTTGGGGCTTCGTGTTCTACAACAATTTGTTGTCATTGATGATGGCTCCTTTATTTTGGATTATTACTGGGGAGTATGTTGACGTGTTCATTGCTATGGGATCAAATGGAGGGACATTGTTTAACCCTGTTGCCTTCGTTGCAGTCTCATTATCCTGTGTGTTTGGACTGCTCATCAGTTTCTTTGGATTTGCTGCAAGGAAAGCAATCTCCGCTACTGCTTTTACAGTAACCGGGGTGGTGAATAAGTTCTTGACAGTTGCCATTAATGTTCTCATTTGGGATAAGCATGCTAGTCCGTTTGGTTTGATGTGCTTGTTGTTTACTATTGCTGGAGGTGTTCTTTATCAGCAATCTGTAACTGGTGTTAGTACCACTCCACCACAACGGGATTCTGCTGTGTCTAAGCAGGACAATAAGAATGACCACCACAACTATGGAGATAGTGATGAAGAGAAAGGAATATCCGGTAAGATTTCTGGTCTATAAGCTTTTTGGCATTTGTGCCTATTGCTGATGAGGCTATTGTTAGTCCTCCCACTGCGTTATTTACCGATACTTTGATCTTATTCTAGTCTTTACAAACTTTTGCTAGATGCTTTTTAGATTGGCCTTGTTATCATTAACGACTAGTAATCATTGGACTACTATTTGTGAGTTTTTGCACCCTTTCTTTTGGCATGCTATCGTGTTGATTTCATTCCATCTATCTCTTGTTTTAAACTGGCGGTGTCCAGTTTAACAAAGGTCCTAGAGAAATGTATGTTTTGTTTTTCTCCACAATTAGATAACCTTTGCATCTTCAACTTTGTTCTGACATATCTTAAAGAAATGTCATGCTGTGATGGTTGAATTCATTAACTAAGAAAAAAAACTGATAATGAGTCAAACTACTTGATTCCTATACCAAGCAACAATCTGATCAGTCACCCGGAGAGGGAACTATATTAGATGGCTTATTATCTAGTCCATGTTAACGACCTCCTCTGGAGCATTTGAGTTAATTATCAAATCTTTTTGTTGCGTTAATACTTTCCGTAGCTCTATTCCACGTCTCTAGTATCCTAATATATTCAGCTGAAGCATTGGTCTACCAGTTGTTGCTTCCTTTAGGCTGACTGAGAAATTTTATCATGTGTGAGATATAATTAGGAATACTTGTTTGAGGAACTTATTATGTGAAAGTGGACTATGGGCCCATATTCTCTCTCTCTGTCCTTTTACATTCTCCCTAATTTTGTCAACTTGCTTTACCCGCCCTTTGTAATCTTAACCAGGCATAAAGTATTATTCAACAATTTTCTCCTCAAGGAGACCAAATCTGAAAGGAAATGAGCTAAGTCTGCAGAGAAGGGTCTCTCTTTCTCAAGATTGGACCGTTAACTTTGTTGTTTGGAAAAAAATCAGCAAAGAATGACATATCATGCACTCTTATACTGAATGCATTAACCTTAGCTTATGTTGAGCATTTTTAAGAATTTTGCATGTCTCAAGCGTTGTTGGTCTTTTAGAGCAGTTCCTCAATGAGCATAGCTTGAGCAGAAAAAAGAAAAGAAAAGTAGAACCCCTCAGCAAGGACAATGTTGGTGTTAATTTGAGAGTAGAATATCTCTGTGGTGAAGGGTTGGTTTTGTGTTGGTGAATGGCTGGTGTTGCTTCTATAGAAGAGGTAATTGGTATTTATTGTTTTTCCTTTTGAGCGAATGTTTGCTAAAGTTATTCATTTTCAGAAGGAGATAAGGGGGGAAAGATAACAATAGAGAATGGCCCCCCTCCAATATGTGTTAGTATTGCGTGCTGTATTTGTGCCAGAACTTTTCTGAAAAATGAATTGTAAGGTGGCGTTTTTGGTTAGAGGGAGCTAGGGTATCTCGGGGTGTTGGGGGGAAAATATTAAGATGGAAGAGAGGAAATAGTAGCAGAAGAGAGTTTGGAGAGAGAGAGTTACAGAAGTAAAAGAGAAGGGGGAGAGTGATGGGGAGAGAGACAAAGTTGGAGGAGTTGTTGGAGATAAGTGATTTGTTTAAGCAAGTAAATAGCCTAATACATCTAGTAGCGGTTGTTGTGTAAAATTTCTCGGGCTGACTGTCCTAAACTTTTCTTGAAAACGTTTAGCTCAGCTCAGATGTTTTGAAATTCTTGATTTTGCTCCTGCTAAACTTCTTTTGACAAATGTTTAACCCAAGGATAAAGAAACTTACCAATTTACTGGACCTTAAGGTAGGAGCTGGAAATTTATATTTTATTTGATGAAATAAAATGCAAAAGGTGGAAATTTAATCCGGGATGGATGTAGTACTTTTTAAGTTTAATCTTTTAAGCCTTTTAATTAAAAAGAAGGTATAGTAAGTGGACAGGATGTACGTGTATTAGGTAAAATATGAACACTTAACATGACTCATTTTATTTTCAAATTGGTCAGGAGGAAATAGAGAAACTAGTAAATCGACGAGAAAAGAAAAACAAATTAAAGAATGATAGCATGTTTGGCCAAGCTGCAAAATAAGCTTATATTGAGAAGTATTTTTTTCTCAAAGGTACTTTTAGTGAGAAGCAGTTTGTGTTGGGGGATTTGCAGCCATACCCTATATTTATGCCACCTTTTAACCTGTACCCTATTTTTAAAAACTATTGATTTCGTAGCCAACTAACAAAAAATCCGTAATAATATGACCATTAGACCTCTTCCGAAAATCCCTTTTTTCATATGCTGAGTTCTGTCCAGTGGAATCCGCCACTCTACTATCCCTCAAAGTTATATTCGCCCTCAATCTGATAGGCCACTCCTTTCTGAAGTCGCTGATTGTGAAAATGTTCCAGTAATTGACATGGGTTGTGGAGATAGAAACCTTTTAGTTCATCAATTTGGTATTTAAGAAGTATACCAAATTGGAGGAATCCGACCAAGATGATTACATAAGTTAGTGAGCACCTGTATTTCCATCTAATTCTTTCAACTTTCGAATCATATGAAAATTCAGTTAAAACTTCAACTCTAAGAAGGCTGAAGTTCGCCAGTTACAAACAAAAATTTCAGCTCTAAAGCTGAGGTTCGCCAGTTACAAACAAAAACTTCAGCTCTAGAGATGATGTTCGCCAGTCACAAAACAAAAACTTCAGCTCTAGAGCTGAAGTTCGCCAGTTACAAACAAAGTTCACCAGTTACAAAAACAAAAACTTCAGCTCCTAAAGCTGAAGTTCACCAGTTACAAAACGGCTCGCAGTATATTTCGACACCGTGGGAACGTGCAATCACAGGTATAATCAATCATGAAAAAGATGAAGATTCTCTTTCCAGTGAATTCTTCCATGCATGTTCACTATAAAGAGATAATGGCAAAGGCTTTTTAAGATCATCCTTCTGTAGTGCTAGAAAAAAAGAAAATTTTGAAAGTGAATTTATAGGTGATGAAATCAACTTTTCCTCCATTTTTGGTTCTGAAAAGTCCTAAAACGTGCTTAACGACTTTGCATTGTTCCTTAACATAGGTGTACTGTTAGCTTCCTTTGAGAAAATTTCAGTTTTAACATAGAGGACTAGCGTAAACTTGGAGAGAAAGTAGTCTTTTAATAAAGAAGGGCAAAATAGTCTTTTAAAAGGCTTTTGACAAAAAAAACGGGTACGGGTGCAAACAAAAATAAAGCAGCTACAGGTTAAAAAGGGGCGCCCAAATAGGGTGCCCCATGCAATTTTTACGTTTGTGTTTGGCTAATAAATTTGAAAAACACTTCTGAGCAGCAATTAGTGTTTGGCCAAGCTTTTAAAAATTGCTTCTAAGTATATTTTTCTCAAAAATGCTTTTCAAAATGTACTTTTTGGAGAGAAATTACTTTTTTCTGCTTTTCCTCAAAAGTATTTTTTCTTCTTCCAAAAACTTGGTCAAACACTTCAACTTTAAAAAAAAAAAAAAAAGTCCCTTTTTTTTTTGAAAAAAAATTGCTTCTAGAATTGGAAAAGCTTATCAAACTAGGATTCGAAGGGCCTTAGGCCATTTCTAATACATGAAACCCTCGTTAAGCCTAGGCTTATCCGAACCGCCAAGCCTGGGATACATTCCAAACCTAGGCCTTTGGCCAAAGGTCAAATAACCCTTATACCTCTTAAAAGCCGCCTTTATGTCACCGAGATTGGGTTAGGAACAAAGATTGGTTGATACATATGTTGGTGAATGATAGCAACTACTTATTAGCTAGTACCTAGTGAATCGGTTAAAGTGTACGAGGGGTTTGGGCACCAAATTTATCCAGAGGAAAAAATAGTTTAGGAATATGTTTATGGTATTTGTACACGATCAATTTATGCAAGTATTAACAGCCTATATATACTACATTTACTTAAAAAAGAATGAAGGAATTTGAATTACGAGGTTTGACTTTCAATATTCAGTCTCTATATAAACATCAATTTCTTAATTTCTTTGAAATAAAGTTTATATAAATAAAAACAAGATAAAATGTAATAAAAGTTTTTGTTATTAACTCTTCAAATTATACTTCTGCATTAGGCATTCTGTGGAGGAGTGATTCGTGTCTATCTTTCCTCATGAAAATTGCAGTTCTCTGTAAGGCAACTAACATGCCTGTTGAATTTGCTTTTCTGATAACACTCAAACATACATGATAAATAATATGCTAGAATTTTAAAGTCAAAGAATCAACCTGGAATGCAACAAAACTGAAAAAAAAAATAGAAAAAAGAGAAAGACAATGGCAATGATTATTACCAATAAAATAAGTTTGAGACTTCCCTCGCTGACCTATATCAGACGGTATGATTCAGCTCTGAGGCTTTGTTCTATTGTCTTCTCTTCCTTCCACGCAATAAAACGCTATAATAGTTCTATTCTATGTATTGTTTATAGTTGGGTTTGTCTAATTGAGGATTGTCCACATTAACCCGATGTATGCATTATTTAACCCTCTTCAATAGAATTTGACTTCTGAAAGAAAACTCCTTAGAAATTAAATATACACATCATTAGTCTATGTGTTACCTAATCAAAAAAATATTAAATATTCTATGACATTAATCTCCACCATTCGTTTCTACCACTATGACGACAATTCCACATAGGATGCCCCCTACGCTTCCTTTGTCTTCTCCACTATAACGTCGACTCATCATTATTTTACGACACTAAAGAATATATTACATGATTAATTAATTTCACTAAGCCGAAGACACTGTCACAATATAAACAAAGCCATTGCAACAGCTACATACAAAGAAAACAATTAAGTGTTGGTTTGGTAATGTTGATGGAAAGTCACCGGAATTTGCCCACAAATGCCATCAGTTTTTGCTTACTCCCCTCGGAGCTCATCCAATATATAATTCTTCAGCTAGCCTTGCCTGAGATTATCCGACTGAAATCTGTCAATAAGTCCATTTCCTCTCTTATTTCTGATCGGGATTTCGTTCGCGACTACAATCTTCAATCGAGCTCCGCCACGTGGCTGTTCCTCTACAAGAAACGGTGGCGCCGTGAAGCTGTGCTCTATGGCTTCGCCGATTCTTCCAACCGGTGGTTTAATATATTGATCGCCGATTTGTTGAAACAAGTGGTTCCGCCAGGTGAAGATGTCTACTTTTTGACTGCTTCTGGTAATATATTCCTCTTTGCTTTGAATAACAGGCAGGAAGTTATGTCAGTTGACATTATGACTAGGATGGTGAAAAAGATCCCTCCAAGTCCGTTAGGTCCACGTGGCACATCCTCGTGGCGAAGATCCGGTATGAAATTACTGTCTTGCCCTTCTAGTTCCAATCATTTTCGATTCTTGTTTGCTGAGTTACATGAAAGTCATCCAACTTTATTCGAGTTTGATTCAAGAGTTGAGAGATGGCAATTTATGAAAGGAAGAGAGGTTACCCAAGACTTGCAAGGTGATTTTATTTTCCTAAGTGCATCTAATGGACGTAACGGAAGTGTCATCATAGCCGTGCGACCTCAATGCAACAGCACTCCAGTTGTCATCCGACCAACATTCATCACCCGAGGGAACGAGGAAAATCAATTAGCTGTTGGATTTAATTGGGGAAACGCCATCGATCTATTACACGTGTACGGGGATGGAAATATGATTACTATTAGATCAGGCAAAGTTGTTGATGTGAATAAAACAGTTAGAAAGATAAAGGGAATAGAGTTATGGGGGTTGAGCACAAATGGGAGGTATTGGGAACTTGTATCAAGGGCACCAAATGATCTAATTTATAAAATATGCAAGCCATATGGTGCTATGATGGGGTGTATGCAAAAAGGGGAAGGGTTGACAAGGGCAATTTTGATGACCAATCTAGAGGGTACATGGGACACAATTTGGTTAAGCTATGACAAAAAGGACAACCAGTGGGCGTGGCTCCCGTTACCTGATTGCAAAATGAAGGGCTCAAACTTGGCTGGAGTCACATTCTCCTCTGGTTTAACCTTGTCCTAGGATTGTCACATTTTAATTAGATTTTGAATGTTTGGTTCAATGTGATGTGATTAAATAGTTAAACCATAACGAAACTGAGAAACAACACCCCTCCCCCCCCCCCCCCCAAAAAAAAAAAAAAATAGCAAAATTTAGAGCAAGCAAGATCAATTTACTTTTGGATTTAACATTTCTCACTGATCTCTAAGGTCTTCATAATCCAAGTAAAAAACTATGCCTACGGAGTAGCAAAGTAGAGGCACTAGTGGTCCAGGGGCGAATGTATAGTAGCGGCGACGCTTCATCTGAATTCATGACTGTCGACGCGCAACATAAATTTATGTGTAAAAATTCATTAAAATCACAAAGAATGGTAGTCTGCACCCATAAGTTTAAGAATATAATGTGTTTAATTGTCACGACCCAAAATCCCACCAAAGGTCGCGATGATACCTAAACCCAACATGCTAAATAACCCAACATACAAATTAACCAATTCATGATAAATACAAGATAAGCTACTATCATAATCCAAATAAAGAATAATAATCTCAAGAACATCAATCAAAGTGGAAAATACTATAATATCTCCCAAAACTCGACAGTACGAAGTCATGAGCTTCTAGGATAAAATACAACTCCCTCAAAAATATAACAATACTGTCTGAATCAAACAACAATGAAAATGGATTAGAAGGGAACTCCATAAGCTGCGTAGCAAGAAAGACAGCTCACCACAAAGTCTCAAAACAACCTCTAAGGGCCTTCTCTGTATACCGCTAGGTCCAGTACCAAGATCTGCACAAAAATATGCAGATGTGTAGTATGAGTATAAATATAAAGTGTACTCAGTAAATGTCAAGTCTAATCTCGAAGAATTAGTGGCACGATTTTAATTAAAGCATGATACTCACTTTCTCAACTTGGACAGTCCATAACAACAATGATATAATGGGGAAATAACCAAGAATAACATATATAACAATTAGGTGCAAAATCAGAGATAGGTTAAGCATGATTCTTAAACAAGATAGTCAAAACACAATATAATTGTTAAACCCCATATAAAGATGACATGCACTCGGTAGCATCTATATTTATGCTTCTATATGAGTCTAGGATGATCTTGCATACTCAAGGCTCGATCATAATCAATATCCAACACATCCCATGTGCTCTAGCATGATCCAACATGTCCCATGTGCTCAACTCGATACGCGTATCACCTGTGCTCATAGGGCGCAATGTACATGGTTAATCACCTAACTCTTGAGGTATGGATCCAAATCCAAGCCCCGCACAAAAACTCATCATGCCATAATACATTAAGATTACAATAACCGCATGAAAATAATCATCGTGACACATCAATATCAATCCGCTCAAATGTCCAAATGTGCCATAATTATATCAATCCGTACCATCATGTCCATCTCTAAGGTTGTATGCATATATTTAAGAAACAAAATAAAATACATAAGGACATACTAAATAAAGATGCGGATAAGTAATTATGACATAATGTATGACTACAACCAAAATAAGTATATGAACATCTCAATATATCCCATCATGTCCATAAGCTAAAATATAATTTCTAGCATGATTAAAACAGGCTCATATAGTCATACAATCAATGGAAGAACAAACAACGAAACAAGGCATAAAGAAGTTTAAAACTACTCCAAACATGGTATAGCCTTAGTGCACATATATATGCTCATCACCTCGCATATACGTCACCCCTAAATCACGTAGCATACAGCACATAAGACAAATTTGTTAAAAATTTGCCCTTAACAAGGTTAGACAAGAAACTTATCTCCTCTCGAAACCGCTTCTACCTCTTGCCTAGCTCACCTCCTTCCTTCAGCTGGGTGAGCCTTCGCTTTTTGGATCATCTTCTGCCCAATGCAGTACCCCCCGTTTTTTGGTTCCTATTGGGTTTACCTTGTTCAAACTCTTTAATACTGTTTTCCTCTATTCGGGACTTTCAATGCTCAAATCTAGCCAAATAATACTTAATAAGGTCAAATAATGCTTTAAGAAACAATCTCAAATCAAAAAGCTTCAATTTAAATCAAATCTGAAAAGTCAACAAAAGTAAATCCAAGCGCACATGGTCAAAATTCGAGTCTAGGGATAGATCCCATTGGCCCATAACCTTACGAGTCTAAATATATATTTTTTCCCAATTTCGAGTCCAAATGGGTGTTCAAAATCTCAAAATATAATCTTTTAAGTTGTACATAAATATCCTAATTTCACTTTAAAGTTCTGAATTTTTGGTGTAGAAGTCCACGGGGAATCAAGATATATGATAAAAATCAAGTAAAAATTACTTACTCTCAAGATTGGGCTAAAACTCTCCTCCAAAATTGCCTCTTCCTGATCTCCAAACTCAAAAATGGTGAAAATGAGGTAAACCTCAACCTAAATCCATCTGTCCAGCATCCTTGCAGGTGCAGACACTAAGCCGCAAGTGCACACATCCTGTCCGCATATGCGACCTGTACTTTCCAAGTCCTTAGCAGGTGCACTAAATCATCTGTAGGTGCGACCCTCGCACCTGCGACCCCAACAACGCATGTGCGATTACAATCATTTCGAAACTCACTGGAGCCTCTCAAAACCCCGTCCAATCATTCTACAAGTTCATATACCCTATTCAAACTTATCCAAAAGCTGAAAACGCTACAAATAACATCAAAACTAAGATTCACATCAAATCAAGAATATTAAATTCTCTTAAGTTCAAACTTCTGACTTATGAATAGAAGTGCACCAACCCTGGGCCACTCAAGACCCGAACCAAACATAAGAACAAGTCCAAAAGCATTATACGAATCTATTATAGCTCTCAAAATATCAATCTAGGGTCGTTTTCTCATAATATTGACTTTGATCAACTCTTCCAATATTAAGCCTTAACTTAGGAACTATGTGTTCCAAATCAATCCCGGACCTCTCGAAAATCAAACCACCCATCCCTAAGTCATAAAATATCAAACCAACCAATGGGAAGCATCAAATAAGGGAAAGATGCTCTAGAACTCAAAACAACCGATTGGGTCATTATATTATCCACCTCTTAAACAAATGTTCTATCCTCAAAGGGGTGTAGGAATATACCTGGACTGTTGAAAAAATATGGATTTCTGCTCCACATACCTGACTCGTCTCCCAAGCAGCATCCTTACTCCGATGTCCTTTCCAAAGTACCTTCACCAAAGAGATCTCCTTTGACCTCAACTTTCGAATATGCATGTCCAAAATAGCAACGACTCTTCTTTATAGGCGAAATTCTCATCTGGATACACTCTGCTGAAGTCCAAAACATGCGATTTATCCTTATTATTCTTTTGAAGCATAAAAACATGAAATATCAAATGTACTTCCGATAAGCTAGGAGGCAAGGCAAGCCTATAAGAAACCTCATCAACTCTCTCCAACACCTCAGTGGAACAATAAACCTCGGGAACAACTTGACCTTCTTCCTAAACCTCGTCACACCATTCACTCTGTGAAACCTTTAGATGCACTTTTTTATCCTCCATAAATGCCATATCACGATCTTTCTTGTCATCATAACTCTTCTGCCTATTCGGAGCTGCCAGAAGTTGTTCTTGAATCAACTTCGCCTTCTCCAAAGAATCACGAACCAAATCTATACCCAACTACCCAGGGTCACCAGGCTCAAACTAGCCAAGAGGTGAAGGACACTATGTACCATACAAAGTCTCATATGGTGCCATTTAAATACTGGATTGATAACAGTTATTGTAAGAAAACTCCGCCAAAGGTCAGAACTGATCTCAATGGCCTCCAAAGTCAATATCACAAGCTCACAATGTGTCCTCAAGGATCTGAATATTCTGCTCGGACTAACCATTCGTGTGCGGGTGAAATATTATCCTAAGCTCCACTTGTGTATTGCCCTCCCGCTGAACAACTCTCTAAAAGTAAGATGTGAACTGAGTGCCATGCTCTTAAATGATAGAAATGGGCACGCCATCCAAATGAACTACCTTCCGAATGTAAATTTAGGCCAACTTCTCTGAAGTATAAGTAGTCAATACTGGTATGAAGTGTACATACTTAGTCAATCTATCCAGAATGACCCAAATAGCATCAAACTTCCTCAAGGTATGTGGTAATCCTACTACAAAGTCCATAGGAATATGCTTCCACTTTCACTCCGGTATAGTTGTTTTTTGAGCCAAACAACCTGGTTTTTAATGTTCATACTTAACTTACTGGCAATTCAAACATCGTGATTCATGACAAACAATATCCTTTTTCATCCTCTGCACTAATAATATTACTTCAACTCACGATACATCTTCGTAGCTCTCAGATAAATAGAATACCGCATACTATGAACCTCCTGAAGTATCAGCTTCCTGAAACCATCAACATTAGGAACATAAAGCTGGCCCTGAAGTCTCATAAAACCATCATCTCCAATAGCTATCTTCTTATCACCACCTCGTTTCACTATGTCCTTAATCACCAACAAATGGGAATTATCATACTTGCGAACCTTAATGCGCTCAAACAAGGACGTCTGCGCAATAACCCAAGCAAGAACTTTACTACGCTTAGAAATATCTAATCTTACAAGTCTATTATCCAAGGCCCATCCATAACCAAAGGACCCTCCTCAGCGGAAATGAATGCCAAACTACCCATACTCTCTGTTTTTCTACTCAAGGCATCTGCTACCATATATATCTTGCCTAGATGATACAAGATAGTGATATCATAATCCTTAAGCAACTCAAACCACCTCCGCTACCTCAACTAAGTCATTTTGCTTGAACAAGTGACGAAAACTACGATGATCAGTATAAACCTCATATGATACGCCGTACAAGAATCCCGCCAAATATTAAGTACATGCACAATTGCTGCCAACTCTAAATCATGAACTGGATAATTCTTCTTATGAGTCTTCAATTTCCTAATGCATAATTTGAGAATCAATATTAAGAATCGCACATCAAATCAAGAATCTCTAATTCCCTTAAGTTCAAATTTTTTACTTTCGACTAGAAGCGTCGAACCAATTTCGAACCATACGAGGCCCAATCCAAACATACATTGTCACGATCCAAAATTTCACCA